TCTTCCAAATAATAATAATTTGACATTAAATTGGTCGGCAAGGCCCATAATATGACTTAATTGCATATTAGGACACAGATTTCCATTGCTCTGGCTCCACACCATCAGTTTGAGTCGTGTGTTAAATGCAGCATATTTCAGATCAAAAGCCAGATGCCTTGACCATGCGACCTCTACTGTGAGTCTTTTACTGAACTCCATGAATTCATGTATGACTGTAATGCACCCTGAGCCTTCTGAGTTCATAGGGTGACACTGTTTAGGCATCTCATACTGCTGCTGAGACCTCCAGCTCCAATTCTATCTATCTGATCCATACTGAATCTTCTTCATTAATTTGTCAGTCCATCACCAAGAAAAAGCCCAGTCCCTCTGCAAACAGATGCAATAGGGGAATCCCAGGTTATGAAAGCAATATTTACGTCCAGATGCTTTTTCACTTTTTCTTAGGGCCAGCTTGACTTCCTTGCTAGCATCCCAGACATCACACTTCCAAGGCCTGTCACCTCTTCTGGAAAACACAAGTGCAGCAATGCTTCTTCCTTGACAGGGGGATAGGTAACAGAAGGAGGCCCTGGCCTTGCCCCATCATCAGTCACATCAGACCTCTACAGAGGAGTTGGGGCAGCTTTCTTGTCAGCTCTGTGGTGGTTGGAAACAGATCTAAACAGCTCTGTCTTCAGTTAGAATTGTCCTGAGAGCTTGAGACAATTTCCTTCAAATTGCTCTCCCAAAAAAAGCACTTCTAGACAGTAAGCCTCAGTAACAGAAGAGGTCTGTCTTTTCAATAGAATTTCTGTTTCTTAGCTAAATGCCATAGCAGTACTCTTCAGAGCAGGAAATCTGCCACAGTGATTGTCTCCAAGCCACAAATACAATCAGGTAGAATAATGCCCTCTGATCTTTAACTTGACACAAAACTATTTACTTGTTGAAGTAGATAGGTAGGAAAGGAGCATTTCAGAAGACCCAGAGCCAGTCACTCACAACCTTTAAACGTGTATCTGCATAATCTGGAGTGTGAGCCACAAAAGTGTCTTAAACGGAACCTGCCTTCCAGGAAGAGATGGCAGTTTGACTCAATAAGTCACGCTGCAACCCTCAGCAACACGGAGCATACACAGCTCAGTGCTCAACTCCTTTCCTGACATTAAAGGCTGCAAGTGAACAGAACCAAACAGCTAGAACTGCCGCGGATCTCTGCTCTAGGCATCATTCTCACCTGTTGATTCAGTACTGCAATCAAGTTTTAAGTTTCCTTCACAAAAACTCCAGCTCCCATTTAGTACCAGTGATTATGCCACTTGGGTTATCCTGCCTTTGTCTACAAGTACAGCAAAAAGCTGGCATGTTGGAAAATTATCCAAATGGGAGTACCCCTTCAAATAAGGGGTCTGCATAGTGTTGAGCATGGATCAGATGCTTCTTTGGTGCTGCGTAACTTGGGGTTCTTAGCATCTAAAGGGACATCAGTTAGTTATTATTCTGTCCTTTTAGCATTCCATCTAATAAACAGCAGGTCAAATGGTACCTTACAGACTTTCATACCAGGATCCTAATGGACCAGTACTCCCCCAGCACCAAACAAATACACCAAGAGTGCAGGACAGAGCAGTTAAATTGTTATCTTCCTCAAAGTACATAAAACACCACATCCCAGAAAGAACAGTACCGCATGGAAGGATTTGTGTGCCTCCTTAAAATAGAATTTCTGTTCTCTAGAATCAGCCATCCAAAAATTAAGACATATTATCTTAAGTTAGTATTTACATTCCCTATATATTCAGCAAAGAGAAAGCAGCGATTAAGGATAGCAATCCATACCCTTTCAAGACAGCCATCTGGGATGGGAAAGATTAAGCTTCCTCTGTAGATGCACTTAGAACGTCCATAGCAGCCAAATCTGATCTTCAGCCAGCTTAACTTCACACCTAACGGTTACAGGTTTGATGTCAAGTGAGATGATCTGTACCCCAGTTGGTACTGACAAGGAAGTCAGAACGGGCTGGAATCAAAGTATTTGAAGTGTACTAAGGACAAGATAAGTAGAGCCATCTATATTGCTACATAAAAACATGGGAATTTTAAGAAATACATACATCCATCTGGTACTGACGATCCATAATTTTGCTATGCCCTCAGTGCTCCACACAGTTCTGCTGGATTTTCTTCATCTTGTAATGAGCAACCCATCTGTTGACTCAAGACCAGAGAAATGTGTTGTTAAGGACTGGGAACCAAAAAAATCCATTTTTGACTAGCAACTATTTATATAATATTATAGGGATGTTTTAAATTCTTTCTTGCTATAACAGAGTGACAGAGTTAATGGCCCACCATTTTCTACTACCTGAGCATCTCCAAATATACTGCTATGCACACACAAGCATAAACAGAGATTATGTCAAACTCTATTTAAATAAACTTGAATACAGGAACTCAAGAAAAACAATTTATGATTAATGTGGAATTGTAAGTATTTACAGACTCCCTCTCTAGCTTACTTTTAGAACAGAAATTCTTACTGATGTTTTTATGATGTCCATTCTTACTTCTTCACTTCCACTTTGC